GCACGGGAAGCGCAAGGGCGTGAGAAGCACAGCACGAGAAGCGCGAGCAAGAGGCCCAGTGGGCGTGGGTGTGAGAGGCACGAGCAGGAGGGCGTGAGAAGTGTGAGCAGTGAGGCGTGAGAGGCATGAGAAGCGTGAGCAAGGAGGTGCGGGAAGCGTGAGTAAGAGTGGGCGCGAGAAGCGTGAGTAAGGGCCCAGTGTGGGTGTGGGCGCGAGAAGCACAGGCATCAGAGGCACCGTGCCAGGGAGGGAGAAAGGCAGCCTCCCTTCAAGGAACCAAACATCAAAGATGTGGTGGGCGAGTGAGCGAGGGTGCAGGAAACCTAATCTGGCATGGTTGGCAGGGGGCGAGGGGAGGTCACGGCACCCCAGGCCCCCACCCTGCTACAGGCCTATTGAGACTGAGTTGTCCTCTACCCTCACATTACTGCATTTAGGGGCCTAGGAAGTGACAATTTGCAGGTTGCAGATCTGCTATTTTGTTTAATATCCAGTGATCGCCCTATCTTGTATCCTGCATGATTGTATACAGCTGACTAGTTGTACATTTACCCCTTAAAAAGAACATGGACCATAAACTCATTTCGTTTCAACATGTTCTCTAAGTCAAACTCAACCCCTCTACCACGCTCTTCCTTTCTTTCTAATCACTTGTGTTTGTTAACAGAGCCAACAAGGGAACAGCTCCACTTCAGCTAATCCAAGGAAAACCTCTCTTAGTTTCTCCTGAGACTTCCTTTCCCCATGGGAATCCCTAAAATGTATCAATCAACAGCTCTAAACTGCTGGTGGAGCAGCTGGAAGAGAGGGGAAAACCCATGTGGGGCGTGATACATCACCACTTTCTTTGCTGTCAGAGCTAAAAATCTCATTTTTAACATTTTGGAGCAAATAATATGTTTAAATAGCCATTAATTTTTAGCTGACACTTCCCTTCGGTACTTTTGGCAGCCCATATATTTCCTTCTCAGAGCATCATGCTGTTTCTGTTTATACCTAATAATATAATTTTCATAGTTATTATACAGGCCACTACTGAGGTTTCCTAATAGAGTTTAGCAGTGCCAGGATATCTTTTCTGAAACTGCATGGCAAGCTTCAAAGGAACAACATTTACTGGTCATTGTGATAATGAGGGTTAAGTATTAGGGTGGGGGGAGGGGAGGGCAAGAGAGGTTGGAGGCTGGGTTTTTATATATATATATATATTTTTTTTTTTTTT